GAGAGAGAGAGAGAGAGAGAGAGAGAGAGAGAGAGAGAGAGAGATCATCACATGGCAAAACAGGAAGCCAGAGCATAACTGAAGTCTCATGAGAACTACATCAGTCCTTTCCAAGCAAGGTTCAGTGCACGCCCCAAGGACCTAGAAACCTCACAATAGGCCCCATTACCTCTTAACATTGCCACCAGGGACAGAGTTTCCAACACATGACCTTTGGGGAACATGCTCAGACTACATCTAAACCAGGTAAAAAGTAGCCATGACTCAGAACCCAGGAAGAACTCAAGGCCTGTCCGTCATCATCAATGTGAAGTGCTACAGAAGCCCACAGAAGGGGCACTTGACCCATCCTCAAGAGGATGACAAGGAAAGAAAAGAGGACATCAGAGTAAAGACAGGTTTCCTAATGAGCAGTGGGTCTCCACCAGGGGCCAGATTTTGCTCCCCAGGGGACATTTAGCAATGTCATTTTAGCAGACACTTTTGGTTGTTTGCTTTCAGATTTTTGCAACTTGGAGGGTGGGCATGAGTGGCATCTGATAGGTAGAGACCAGTGACATTGCCAACATGACCAAGATAGTCCCATCACTAAGAATTGTCCTTCCCAAGGTGAATAGTACCCAGGCTGAGAAACACTGGGTTAGATCATGAATTCTGTCATCAGAATGCCTGGATATTAATCCTGGATCTGTCCTTTACTAGTTGTGTGACCTCAGGAGAGTTTTTCTGTGCCTCAGTTAGCACATTTGCAAATGAGGAAGAAAACATATTAAATGAATTAATACTGATAAATACCTAGAACACCATAAGCATCACATAACACTTATCCAGATTCCAATGTTCAAATCCTAAGGGACATTTTCCCCCCAAAATCAAGAGTAATGGCCTATTTAAGTCCCACTTCCTACAGAGCTTCCAGGATGTTCACTCTTGATTCCATGGCGTTTCTACACAATTTCAGCCAAGTCTCAGTTGGTTTCCTTAGCTCATGTGGTCCAGTGTTATTTAACATTCATATGTAAGAAATGCAAAATTGAAGCATAGCTTATGCTGAGTTGCTGCTGGGGACAGAGAAGATGGGGCAGAGGTGAGGCAGAGCTAAAAGGAAGCAGTCCCGGCATTCTCTTCTGAAACCACTTCTTTTATAGCTTCGGTTTTCTCTTGATTTCTCTTTATTCCAGGCTTATGTCTCCAACACTCCCCACGACAAACCCCTGCTATTTTCTCAAGAGCTATATGATAAGACTTTAGAGCTTCTAACTGCTCATGGGCATTATAAAGTAATAGTCGGTGTTTGACTAGTTCAAGGATAGATGAGAAGTCAGATATTTCTGGAAATCCATTACCTCTTCTCTAATTAGAAATGATATTCCCAACTGCTAAATCTAGCTATCGCCTCTTTAAAGTTCCCAACATGGAACTTGGATTTCTTAAGGATCATCTCGGCACTGAAAGGAAAGACTATAATTACCAACCCCTATGACAAGTCTGTCTAGAATGTAGAATGTTCTAAGCAGGGGAATTTTTTTCTTTGAATATTTCTCCTCCACTCTTATTCCACATTTCTTATGATAATCACAATCTGTTTGCTTTCAGAATTTCATCTGCACTCCTCTCAAGATGTTTTGAACTTAAGGATGCAGAGAGGGCCTGAAGCTGCATTCACTCATGGGTTCACAGGTATTGTTCCCTGTCCCCTTAAAAAGATGGATAATTTTCGTGCTTCTTCCAAATCATCCTGACATCCTGAGCCTCATTTGTCCCAGTCTTTGTTATAAGAAACTCAAAAAAAAAAAAAAAAATCAATACCATCCAAAGGGGACCCAATTCAGAAATTGCAGACTATTCAAAATGCGATGAGAGGAAGAGACCAATTCCACAATGCATGTGAGACACACACAACATCAAGTTGTTTATTATTCTCCCTCAACAGCCAGTCCATGCCAGGACAATGGTGTCACCATCAAAAAACATCTCGTCTCTTATCCATCTTATCCACAGCATCCTCCAAAAAGTTGAGGTCAATGAATCCACTATATAAAAACAAGGGATTATAAGAAATAGCTTGCTTTTTTCTACCTACTATTCTTATGAAGTAAGTTGTGGAGCTGGAATTGATTATTGAGACAGAGTTATACCTTCACTCCGAGCCGATTTTATGAAATAAACTGAAAATATCACTGGGTTTCCCTGTGCAAATAAACTCCATGATTGGATGAAATGGAACTATTTGTGCAATATCAGATAAACAGTAATACTTATTAATAAGTCAAAAGTAAGCCCCTAGGGCTGGGGTTGTGGCAAAGTGGCAGAGTGCTTGCCTAGCATGTGTGAGGTACTGGGTTTGATTCTCAGCACCGCATATAAATAAAATAAAAGTTCCATTGACAACTAAAAATAATATTTTTTAAAAAGTAAGCCCCCCAAAATAATTCCCCATTTCCTTTAAGTGAACACTCAGGAGCCCCTAGTAAGCAGTGCTGGATTGGAATGGTTTTTATTTCTGTTGCTGTCGTTTCTTTTTCCTTGGCTTCTCTCTTTCCTCCTCCTCCTTCTCTTTACAAAGAAAAGACCCAATATTTCTATTGCTTCTTTGTCTTCTATTTGGGATTCTGTCCCCGAGGTTAACTAATGTATTATATTTGCATTTTAATAAAATTAAACGGTTACTATCAATATTTGAAACCTACTATAATCCATAAAAAAGATAACTATATAAAAATAAATAAATAAGCCGGTACTTTGCTGAATTCATTTACTAGTTCTAGAAGTTTACTGGTAGAATTTTTGGGGCCCTCTAGGCATAGAATCATATCATCAGCATTTCTGTATATCAGTGACAAATCCTCTGAAAGGGAAATCAGGAAAACTACCCCATTTACAATAGCCTCAAAAAAAAAAAAATCAATTTAAAGAGGTGAAAGACCTCTACAACAAACACTACAGATGCTAAAGAAAGAAATTAAAGAAGACCTTAGAAGATGGAAAGATCTCCATTGTTCTTGGATAGGCAGAATTAGTTATTGTCAAAATGACCATACCACCAAAGCACTATACAGATTTCAATCAAAATCCCAATGGCATACCTCATATAAATAGAACAAGCAGTCATGAAATTCATCTGGAAAAATAAGAGACCCAGAATAGCTAAAGCAATCCTTAGCAAGAAGGGTGAAGCAGGTGGCATCACTATATCAGACTTTAAACTATACTACAGAGCAATGGTAACAAAAACAGCATGGTATTGACACCAAAATCGAATTGTAGACCAATGGTACAGAATAAAGGACACAGAGACTAACCCACATAACTACAGTTATCTTATATTAGACAAAGGCACCAAAAACGTACATTGGAGAAAAGATAGCCTCTTCAACAAATGGGTGCTGGGAAAACTGGAAATCTGTATGCAGCAAAATGAAATCTGTATGCAGCAAAATTAAATCCCTACCTCTCACCATGCACTGTTGAGAGCCACAGCCAAAGGGGCCCCAGCAAACTTCCAGCTGCCAGCAAGCTTCAGACTGCCCCAGCAACATCTAGCTGAT